GGGGGGTTAGTATATGAGCTACTAAGCCCTTTATAGCTATTACAATTTTGGTGCGTGGAGTTGAGCTTTAAGCTAAGATGCTTACAAGGCATAGATGTCTGATTAATACTGAAATGTACTGATGTTTAATATGATTAATATTAATCTAATTAGCAAAAATGAACAGCAGTAAATATTTGGCCTTGTGTATTTTGATCTGTATGAAGCATTTTTAATTATAGGATAAACACATTGACAGTAATAGTTCTAGTGACATCTAGAGGCTGTAATAAGATACTGCTTGCACAGGGGAAGAAAACATTCCGCCAATTCACATTCAAACAAGCGTTTTACATTGTAAGGTTCTGTGTGTATGTATGTATGTATGTATGTATGTATTTATTTGTTTGTTTGTTTTTAGTAAAGCTGCAATTTTATATAAGGCAGTGCAGTAGTGTAGTGGTTAGTGCTTCTACCTTGCAGCACTGGAGGTCCCTGGTTCAAATCCTGGCCAAGTCACTATCTGCAAGGAGTTTGCATGTTCTCCCTGTGCTTGCGTGCTCCAGGTACTCCAGTTTCCTTTAATGCTCCAAAGCCAGGCTAGTTGGCTCCCGTCTAAATTGGCCCTGTATGTATGCATGTAAGATAGGGACCTTAGCTTGTAAGCTCCAAGAGAGCATTCTTGGTAAAAGAGAAACTGTGCTATTATTATTATCATCCAGTGCAGTATTGCAACCACAGCCTTTGAATTATGGGTGCAATGCTCTGGTTTCTGCAGACCTTAAATATGAGTGCAACATGAAACATAGTCCAAAAGGTCATCTTAGCCTTTAACCAGTGGCTTCAAGTCACTTCTTCTGAAGTAACACATAGATGTGGTCAGATGTAAAAGTTAAGACCAGTTTAGGTTGGAGACACACAGACACGGGGAGACCACACAAACTGTATGCAGATAGTGCCTCTGGCGGGGTTTAATACCAGGACTCCAACTCTGCAGAGTCACAGTGCTACACAAACTCATTATCTTATTGGGCTGCATTTCAGTATCCGATCGGATAACATGGAGAAGGTCGACATAGTTGAACTTCTTTATAGTACAAAGCTCCCCTTTTATACAGGGGTCCTGCTTGGTATTTTTGAACCCACAGTCTATAGTGGGGGGTTTACACTTCCTCCATTTTATCTTTCAAATGTTTCCCAACTTTCCTTTTCCTGCACTTGCATGGGATTCTTTGACTGATGATCCCTGTTATATGCATGTATTGGAAGATTTGTTTGGTGAGGAGAGTAGAGCTGCAGCTAACGATTATTTTCAAAATCGATTAGTTAGCCGATTATTGAGTTCGATTAATCGGTTAATCGGATAAAAAATAAAATACATTTTAAAAAATGGCTCCAGTGATGGGACTACTAGTTTGAAACTAATCTTACATGTACATCACTTTGTCTGTTAGGTCAGGGAGCAGATTGTGACAGGTACTGGCTAGAGCTGGCCATACATTGGTAGATTTTCATACATAAATTCATCCAAATCAGAACATTCGATAACCACATCAGAAACTTGTAGAATGTTGTTTGAAATTTCGTTTTGGCTTTACCAACTGTTTTTGCAAAGAGTTGCCTGAACGAAAAGCACATTCACCATTAGAAATTAATTTGTTGGAGAATAATTTGCCATTTTGCTCCTTCAGCTACAGTCGAAAGCAATCACAGCTTTGAACCCCATTAAGCATTAGGAAAACAAACAAATGTTCCAAAAATAGGTTTTGTTTTTCAAACAAAATTCTACTGCTGTACGGCCAGCTTAAGCTGTGATTTGAGCCAGGGTGGGCACATTTAATACTACATGCGGTTTTTCTGAGATCTAGCCTATGGCCACCTTTTTGATCTCTAAACCATCGAGGCTGCTTTGCAGTGTAATCATTTGAAGTAGTCCCTTTTGATCATCTTGCGATCAAAGAAATAAGATGTGATTTGCTGGAAGAAGAAGGCTGGTATTCCTAACCTGCACAGCATCGTTCCAACAGGGGTGAACAGTGAAATTAGACAAAAGGGTCTAGGATGAAATGCAAGCCCCTTAAGTGATTGACCAAGCAAGAGAAAAACATGTCTTTGGTTAGCTAGAAGAGGTACGGTCAATGATGTACATATTACATGTTTAACAAATGAAGGGTTAAATCCATTATTTGGATGTTCTTTGTAATTTTGCACTGGGAAACCAGAGCCCAGCAATACTTCTTTTTGGATATAGCTGCAATAAATTGACACTGAGAATTTCCAACCTCCGCACGTTAATGTGATGGGAAATAGGAAGTTGAGTGGGGGCCAAGAGGTGTTCATTGTTCTGCCAAAACAAACTCTGAAGGCAGACACAGTGGACCTTGATTTGGAGTCTTGTTTGAAGGACCACAATAAAACCTTGAACAGAGTCCAGAAAGTGGGACTCATGTGTGAAATGATGACTGTACAAATTAAAAATAGAATGTCCGTGAGGCAGCTAGCTGCAGAGTGAGATCCGTATAACAATTAACACTTTGACCAAGTCCACATGCTGACGTAAGTTACCGCAGCAAGCTGACCTATGTATGTTTACATTGATTCTGTCTAATGCAGCTAACCAGAGTCCTCTGCGCTGTTTGGGGAATGGTCGCTGTGGCTATTAATTCATTCATTGGTCACTTTATTTTAATTGTATATTATGCATGAAGCCCACATTTTGAGGATGACGTTATCCAACTTGCTGTGAGCTCATAATGTGCAAATGGTGGGCAACCTGGGAAGGACTATATTCTCTGGCTTATTGCAAAATGCTAGTTGCCTGACTGGGATGCTTACACTTTTGTCTTTAAGGAGTATGTCAAGCCAAAACTTTTTTTCTTAGTTTTGGATAGAGTGGGGAAGATTAGAACCCCTGTCGGGTTTTTACTGCCATCTGGGACCCAGTGAGTAATTTCTTTTCACTTCCTGTCTGGGAAAAGTGAGGGGAACCCTGCAATAATGACACAGGCAGAATTAAAAATGATATTGTTTCGTGGAAGTGAGGGTAAATCACTTTACTATAGCTTTGGGTAGCTGAAAACCCCAACAAGAGTTATAATCCCTTCTTATTCTATCTAAAACTAGATTTAAAAAAACGTTTTTGGCTTAACATACACTTTAATATGTTAAAATGACCATTTTTTTTTTTAATAATGCTGCTAGCAAATATACATGGCAGGCAGCCAGGTAGTGGGTATAAAGTGCAGCCATTTTCTTATTTTCTTATTTTTAAGTGACAGTCACCTTCTCACTAAACTAAATATACAAAAACTGTCTTTGCTCTGACTTCCCTGGGCCAGTGAGTCAGAAAGTATTACAGTATACAGAGTGTTGTGATGACCAGAAAGCTAGCATTATAAGTAGGAGTTCAGCAATAGCAGTTTCCATATTTACCTTTAGGAAATGTTTACTTTAACAAGACATTCAAGTGAGAAAAAACATTTCAGTATTTAATGAATGGCAGCTTATTAGAGTTCAAACTGTGTTTTAGTGATTTCAGAAATGACAACAGAAACAAGGAAAGGCATCCAACATGTTTCGGGGGCTCAGAAATCCCCCCTTTGCCAGGGATTTAAGTCTCAACTAAATTGCTCTTATAACTCCTATTGCTCCAAAGCTCTGGGATAATTCAGTCAATACCAGAAAAATTACCAGGACAATTATCTGCAAAAGGGATGTTTGTGTCAGCAGCAGAGCAGCTCATGGAGAGGGACCATTGTTGAGTGGAGAGCTGTTGAATACAAGCCATGTGGTTTTATTTGGGACTTTTTTTTGCCTATCAGAGATTTATCTCCACCTTCCCATTGGTTTGTCTAGTCTCTTGCGGGACTCGGGTAGGAAAGTTCCAGCTCAGCCTGTCTGCAGTGGCTTAGGTACATAAGAGGAAGACTTCTCTGACTGGCACATTGTAGCAAGTACTGCTTAATTACCTAGGAGGATGAACAAAGAGTTGTGTAGGATACATACCAGTAAAGTATCTGTTAAAGGAGAACTATGGGGTCAGTGTTTTTCCCCATAGTTCTCCTTGGGGTAACGGGAGAAATGATGAAAATGCAGGTTTACATTAAAGTTCAGGTCCCATATTTTCAGATCTACTTAATATTTTCATGTTCTTCTCACTGAAGGAAACCTCTGCTTATGCTTTTTTTTTTTTTTTCCTTGTGTCTGGAGTTTAAATTGCCAATATTCGTAAAAGTTTATTTTAAGGCGATATTGAGCTCTGTCATTGTTTTTCATTCTGTCTGTTACATATGACTAACCCCTAATTGTATGTTTCCTTTCCAGAAAGAGATACAAGCCATGAGTCAGTGCAGTCACCCCAATGTTGTTACCTATTATACCTCATTTGTGGTGAAGGAGGAGCTGTGGCTGGTTATGAAGTTACTAAGTGGAGGTAATGTAAATGTTATGTATGTTAACTGGCAAAGTCGTGTTAAAGAAACTCCTCATAAATTAGTTTTGCAGTAGGGTTCAAATTTCTCATTGCATTATTATATGCTATATTTAGATTACTAATGTTTGCAGAGACTGACATCTTAAAAAAAAAAAAAAACTATCGCAATGAACATTTGTGCAGCAGAGGAAGCTTCTTATTCAGCATTTTCATTATATGCCAAGATTCAACTGGCTTGATTCACGATAGGCTGAGTTTAAACCCATTTGATCGCTTTCTGAAAGTTCTAGTTGCCTGTGTCTGTGAAAGTTCTCATTCATCCAGGTCATGGTATATCTGTAAAAATTAAGTCAATGCATTAACTTAATTTATACAGATATTCTAGTTGCATGGTTTAATACTTTCAGTCATTGGCCTTAGACAAGTATGCAACAGTTGAAATGAAGTCGCATATGCAAGCAGGTGACTTCCGAGAATGGTGGGTCCATCTACAATTGTGCTAGCACACACCATTCCTCCTCTCTCTAGGACTGGAAGTATAGCAAAAAAATGTGAAAACGGGAAACTGTGTGCTGTAAGGAGTATTTTTTTAAGGGACCAGTTATTGCCCAAAATGGACCCCTAAACAGCCCAAACCTTGCCCAGGGATGACATTGGGGTGGTAGAAGGCCATCTAAGTCCACCTGAAGTTCAGCCATAAACATTAGAAAGCTTCTGGACATATAGGAACAATTCAACCATGCTAAAATTGCCTTCACACATTAATAGATTGCCCACAAGATAATTAATTACCTGGCACAAGGGGTGTCATGGAAGGCCTTCAGATATTCAAGATGGTTCGGCCTCATCTTGAATATGCGATTCAGTTTTGGTCACCAGTCCACAGAAAATATGTCCTTGAGCTGGAGAAGGTCCAAAGAAGAGCAACCAAGCTAATTAAGGGGCTGGAGGAGCAAAGCTATGAGACAAGGTTGCTAAATTTAAACTTGTTCATGCTGGAAGTGAGGCGATTAAGAGGGGACATGATTTTGTTGTACAAAATGTTAAGTGGTGACGGCAACATCGGCACTGAAGTTTTTACTGTAAACTCCGTAACAAGGACTAGAGGCCACCACCTAAAATTGGTGGAGAAAAGATTAATCCACAAAGGGCGTAGGGGCAGTTAGAGCAGTTTTTCAGTTAGAGCGGTTACATTTTGGAACTCTCTGCCACAAGCAGCGGTATCTGCGAAGAATATTGATTCATTCAAAAATCAATTGGATTCCATAATAAGAGACCGTAACATACATGGGTACAGGTACACTTAAATACTAGACCACACAGGGACTCTTGCACACACATGCACGCACAAGACACGCACACACACAAAGGTTGAACTTGATGGACATGTGTCTTTTTTCAACCTCAAATACTATGTAACTGCAGTATATAACTATGTAACAGACATCCCCCATTGTAGCCATGCATGGTAGAAAGGGCACTTATTATGGTATGTCTGTAGGTACTTGCTGCCCACTGGGGAGGTGCTTTTAGTAGAATTTTTGTAAAGCAACAGTTAATTTAAAATGCTGGTTGTATAACTTTCTTACAGCACAGATAAGTTTAAATAAAAGGATCTCTGTTCATTACTTTTCAGCTTTGCTTGAGTGAATCCTTTTAGCTTTGGGTCCAGCAGAAATGCACTTTTTATAATGTATGGTTAGGGACTGTACATTTGAAGGGTTTATTTATAAATGTTTCCACCCAAGATTTATTCATGATTCCCCCATTTTTGTAATAACATTTATGTGAAAAATCTGAAACTATTGGGTGAAAATCCCCGTGTGGTTTTATTCTTCGTGGATTTTGGTAGTTATCCACTAAGGTACATATTCTCTATGGGGGCCTGTCTGTAGTAAAACGATTTTGTGATCAATTTCTTTCTGAATAGAATTGCATTTCTTTTCAGGTTCGATGTTGGATATAATAAAGCATGTGATTGGCAGAGGGGAACACAGGAGTGGAGTGTTAGAGGAACCAATTATTGCAACGATACTTAAAGAAGTTTTGGAAGGGTTAGATTATCTTCATAGAAATGGACAAATTCACAGGTATGTTAAAGTTTTTTCTATCTTGGCAAGTTAATGTTGTGTTTTTAATTATTTTTATTACTATAATTGAACCAATAATCTTCATGTATATGTATTGCCACTGATGTTGACCCCAGGTATTTCTATGTATCCAATTTTCAGAATGTCAATAGCTGGAGCTCACATTTTTTTATTGTTTACTAATTGAGGCTGAAGAAGCACCATAACAGACATCACAAGTCTTCAAAGAGGTTTTGGTCTTTCAAAAGTTTGTGATGTCTTTTTTGTATAAAATAAATATGCAATAAACTAGATAAAACCCACCTTGAAACGCAAGACGTGCTACATGATTTATTGACTATTCATTGCTTTAGGATGACTGGTGAATCAATGGTAGCAGTATATACAGTATACCATGCTTTAGCCTAAATATATGTTGTGAGATACTTTATTCCAGCAAAATTGTGCGGAAAGTCCTGTGGTTGATACTCCCAGAACAATATGGTAGTCTATGGCAGCTATTCCCCAAACATCCAGTCTGTCTTAGCATTATTAATATCAAATAACATTTGGCTCTCCTTTGGAGGCTAAAAACCTGTAAATGTTTGAAAAGCACCTGTCAGTAAGAGCCTTATCACACTTCCATGCGTAGAAATGAATGTGTTTTTATAAAAGTCTCAGTGCACAAAGAGTAAGCTTGTGTTTTTTCCATGCAGGACAAAGCAACAGGTTTACTTTGTGGAAGCCCCCATACTTACTTTCCCTTCACTTCCCTATGCACCATTTGGACATCAAAGAAATACTCAATACTTCTAGATGTGTGGAGCATGTCACTGAATCTCCTTCTCCCATGCTAGAGTACTGGTGCTTGGTAATTGGTCACTCAAACACCCATCATGGCCAGGAGAGTGTTCTGTTTGCAACTTAAAATTTACACATGGCCAACTCTTTGCCCCGAGCAGCCAGAGTGGCAGGGGAGTTGAGAGAAGAGAAGTATAAACTGATGGTGGGGCTGGAATTAAAGTAAACGTGTTGCTTTGCCCTGCTTGGGCGCTTTTACAGGTTTTCAACTTTAAAGGTTCACCTTGAGTGAACCGCTGAACGTTCAGTTCATTATCTTCTCCCTGCAGAGAGCAGTGACTGTCAGTCACTGCTACCTGCAGGGCTTCCCCTCTCTCTGTTCTTCCAGCGCTGACTGGAGGGACAGACAGGGGAGGGCACAGCTGACATTGAGAGGCAGGGGAAGCAGTCAATCAGGTAGTGGGATCGTTCCCGGCTGCAGCATGGCTCTGTGCTGTCAGCATATAGCAGGCAATAGCCCGCTATATGCAGAGTTTTGGGTCACAGGAGGACATTAGTAAATGTCTTCCTGTGACCCAAAAGAGAACTAAAGCCAAAAAAGGGTTGGCCATAGTTTTGTTTTTATAAAGCACAGAGATGTGTGTGGGCCCTTAATGGAAGTCACCATCGCTTGTGAACTACTTTAACCATTACATTGCCTAATTATTGCAAGCTATAGTTCAATAGGTCACACTGCTTTCTAATATTGGACCATGTATGACCACCTTTGCAAGTGAAGATTAGTTTTTTGCTGTATTATTGATCTTGTGTAAATAAAAGTTGTCAACTTAAACTCCTTCATTTTTGCCCTGAGTATTATATCTTTAGAAAAATAAGAATGTAGTGGACAAGGCTTTTAATCTACATTGATAAAAACATCATATTGGGCTTATTTTATTCAGTTATGATTGACCTGCTGTGAATCATGGAAAAGTAATATTATGATGCAGATCAAAGCCTGAACACATTTCCTAATCTTATTTCCTCTGGTAGTCACACTGAGAAAAGTGGGCTCTAAAGATATTGAAACTGATGACTTTTTTCTGTCAATGCGATTAACTAGGAGTAAACTTTGTCTATCAGAAAGAAGTGTTCTTGTGCAAAATTACAATTCTTTTTAATCTCTCCTCTCAGGGATTTAAAGGCTGGTAATATCCTTTTGGGAGAAGACGGATCAGTACAGATAGCAGGTAATTTAAAGAGCAGCCCCGGGCAACAAGTAAAATCAATCACTGAACCTCTAATGCTAGCCAGGAAACTTTACAGCCATGCCTAAGTCAGAACACTCTGTTTACTTTAAAGCTGAACTCCGGGCTAAGCAAATATGATCTAAATACAAGAGGCTGGGTATTCGTACTTGAATCTTAGTGTCCTTTATGTATTTTTTCCAGTTCTGTGCAACAACACAGTTAAGTACTGTCTGTGAAACTTATTTTACATTTGCATTAACATTAATTTTTTTGGATCAGCTTTTAGGGCCTACACCCTTCTTCTAAGGTTCAAGCAGTACTAACCCAGCCTATCTGCGGAAGTTTCCAGTCATAAAGCCCAGTCACTGCTGCTGTCTCTCCTTGTGTTGGGTGGTTGGTCTTGCATCCTTCCCCCTGTTGGATTCTATAGACATCCTGTAGTGGGTGAACCTGTTGGGTGCCACCCACAGCTATAGTCTCTGCCATGTGCAGACCAGTAATGATGTCACCACAACTTGTATTAAGTCTATACCTGGGTTTATTATATTGAGGCAGTATTTTGGTTTGTAAAAGCATGTGGTACACAGAATGTGGCTTTATTTACTTTGTGGGTATTAGGTCCCATTTAAGTCATGTCTGTATATGTGTTGATGGACACACATGATTCATTTTGAATGGGCTGCATAATGCAGCATGCTGCAATACACCTGCACATAAAACAGGTGCGTTATGGTACAGTGAACTGGGAAAAAGTCTGGAGTTACTCTTTAAATGCGTTTTATGTAATCCGGCAGAGCCATATTTCAGGAAGGTTTCATGTTTGATGATTCTGTGTTGTGTAACTCTTTCGAACTAGAAATTATTTTACCAGTTCACTATATACTGTAAATGTTGAAGCACCGGAAAACGCAAGGGCTTCTGTTTTTCATCAAGACATGGCTGTAGCAGAGCCTCATACGTCAACGCCAAAACTTTATTTTTTAAGTGACCCTGTTGGGGAGATTTCACCATGTTTACTCTCCCTGTGACATCAGGACAGGGAATGAGGAGAATATTGGGTCAGGACATCATCCAGTAATAATAACTTGACAAAGGTTCTAACACTACTCCATTTTAATGAACAAAATGTAATTTGTTGCAGTCTGTCCTCACTGAAGAGTTACCTTGGAATCCCTATTTTGCTGATGATCTAGTATCAGTGATCTTGTTCACTCATGCTAGTTAAGCAGACTCATTCCTAGTCCCACTGTATCTTGCATACACTGAGGAAGGAAGTTGCACTGCACAGGATTGTGGGACTGAAGGGTGCAGAGACCCCCTTGAGCATGTTACAATCTAGAAGCAGCAATGGTGCCCTGGATTACATAGAACGTAGATTAAATGTAAATTCCCTGGATGATTTATTTGCAGTGTCTACTGGCTAACAGCAACTCAGTGATTGATTTTGCTTGATGTATGATTTGCTCTTCAAAGTTGATCTAAATCCAATCTTTAAAATCTCATATGAGCTTTAACCCTTTCGCTGCCAAGCCCTCCGGAACATTTTTCAAATCAGCTGGCCAAGCCATTTTTGAATTTTCTGCAATTTTTTCCTATTGGTTTGATTTTCAACTGCTGCGTTGCTAGCGTTTGTAAAAGACCCCCCAAACCATATATTTTCTGAAAGCGCAGGCCCGGTAGAATAAAAAGATGGTGATACTAAATGTGTAGGCCCTGCGATAATTGCGCAAATGTTTCTCAAATTAATATTAAACCGATAAAAATACACAATTCAATTGTTAAAACACACCAAAATCAGTATCCGTGCACAAAAAAAATAATTTTCTGACTAAATCTAAAAGATAAAACTGTATTGACTTAATAAATAACAAATATTAGCAAATTTGTAATTGCGCCTTTTTGCGAAAAGGTAAAAAAATGAAGGTATGCAAAACTGTAAATAATCGACTTATGTAAAAAATTGTTTTGGTGTTTGTGTTGTGATAAAATGATACAGGTGTATATTTAATTGCAA